CACATCTAATTATTTATCAATTACATAAACATTATATCATTAATTATTTATAGGGTGTCTGTTTATTTTTTCAGCAGAAATCAAGCCGTTGGCAACACAATTCATGCCGTTGGGAGCTGCAATTTTGGACCAATTCTCTCACTGTAGGGCTGTAGGTTTGAAAAAAAAAAGGGTAACATAATCAATTTTCCTTCATCCTTGCAGCGCGCCCAGACACGCCTTTAATTAACCAAAAAAATTATACCTTTATTAATAACAAATTAATTATTAAACAAAAATATTAAATATAAACTAAGCAAACGTGCATTGCACGTTGCTTGCACCTAGTAAATAAATAAATCTGTATGCTCTTCATTGAAAGTGAAATTTTAGTTGGGGCTTTCGAATTTGTTTCTACTTCTTAAATACACCACCCGACTCGATTCTCCAATTAGTCATCAATACATGCACCATTACACATCGCACACGTGAAAGGGGAATATATTTAATAACAGTAAAAAAAAAAAAAAAAACCTAAACAAGTGAGTTGAAATAAAAGATTATAAAAAAAAGTGACTAGAAATCTTTGCATGACAATTATAAACCATGAAAGAAATCTTTGCATTGTCTGTCGTAGTATCAAAGGCTGGCCTGAATGGAAAGATTACAAAGAGAATGAAACTCCTATACACACCTTCTCCTTTTTATTTAATCACAACTAATTTCATATAATTTGCGTGTTGAGCAACGAGCTTTTTTCCCTTGCCTGCTCTGATTATAATTTGAAAAGTAGACGCAGTCAAAGCATTAAAAATCTAATACAATAAAAAACAATGCTACATGCACAACACATAGGTTACAACATCTCACGATGGAGATGAAATTCGCGATTAAAATAATAGTTGACCCCAACTCTCTTGTGAGATGTTGTAACCCAATATTGTTACCAAACATTGTATAATGAGCATTATTTTTCAATAAATTATTTATGACACATTTGGCAGAGTTTCAACTGCCGGTGCAAGCACGAACCAAAGGAAGGTGTCAAGTCAAAGTGTACAAATCTCATACGTGAGACCTATTTTCTCATTGAATGAAGGGTACGAAATCATTCGAAATGATTTTTTCGATGGACAGTACTACGTTTTGCTTCAAAAATAGCTTATTAATTTAAGCCATTTTTATTTTTATTGTTGTCTTTTTAAAATTAACCCTACTCGATGAGGAGCAGCTCGTATAAGGTGACTCGATAACTTTTTTGCTAAGACTTGGAACATCTATCAATGTGATAGTGAAAAAAACCATAAAGAAACATATTTCTAATGACATTATTACCAAGGCAAGTTAACTAAATCGCGGTTATCTTAGATTTTGGGTTAAAAATCAATTTTTAGTGAATTTTGATAACATAATTCATTTTTTTAATAACTTTCAGATTTTCCTAAACAAGAGCTAAACCCGATTTCTTGAAAGAAAAAAATAATTATTATTATTATAGTTGACAATAATGAGCCTATGTTTGAACCTTATTTCTTGTTGAAAGTGATTTAATAGTGGGTTTTTAGATAATGTATAATTAAAAAGTATGAAAAAAAATTTGAATTTACAAGTAAAATATTTACTATTATGAGAATATATAGTTAAAATGAATTTTTAAATAACTAAAATCAGAGCTAAGTGGAAACATGTGCAACGTGGCATGTATGCTAGATTGGTTTATGCTGGTCACTTGGGTTTTAGTATAGGACAATCACACTTAGGGTGTCAATTTGACTCGTTGGCTCCTAGTTCAACTAGAAAAAAGCCCGAATCAACCTGGCTCGTGACTCGGGCCTAGCCTCATTTTGGGGCGTCAGCTCGAACCCGAGCCTAAGCCACACTGGGCAGTCGGTCACAGACCATTTTTAGCACATGACGAACTGAGCCTGAAAAATTAAAAAAAAAAAGTTAAAAGCTAGGCAACTACATGCTGCTTGATAGCAGAAAGCGAGTCGCTGCCTGTAGCCATGAAGATTAAATAATAATAATAATAATAATAATAATAATAATAATAAGAACAACAAAAACAACAACAACAACAACAACAATAATAGTAGTAGTAATAGTAGTGAGCCGGGCTCAACTAAATAAATCTCTAGCCGAAAGCTCGGATCGAGCCTAGATTTTTTGGCTGAGCAAAAGCCAGGCTCGATTCAGAAGGAAAAAAAAAAGCTCGAACCATTTTTACTCAAACTGATCCCGAGCCTCGAAAAACACAGTTGTATGTACCAACTCATTTTCTCATAATTTCATGAGTCGTGAACAACTCTTGCGGACAAAATTCAGGAGTAGTTTTTGGGTTCTAATTAGCAAGATAAAGTCCATTATTTCTTTGGGAAAATGTTATATAAAATGTAAGAGCCACAAAAATAAATAAATCTGTATGCTCTTCGTTGAAAGTGAAATTTTAGTTGGGGCTTTCGAATTTGTTTCTACTTCTTAAATACACCACCCGGACTCGATTCTCCAATTAGTCATCAATACATGCACCATTACACATCGCACATGTGAAAGGGAAATATATTTAATAACGTCAAAAAAAAAAAAAAAAAAAATTTAACCTAAACAAGTGAGTTGAAATAAAAGATTATAAAAAAAAAAAAAGTGACCAGAAATCTTTGCATGACAATTATAAACCATGAAAGAAATCTTTGCATTGTCTGTCGTAGTATCAAAGGCTGGCCTGAATGGAAAGATTACAAAGAGAATGAAACTCCTATACACACCTTCTCCTTTTTATTTAATCACAACTAATTTCATATAATTTGCGTGTTGAGCAACGAGCTTTTTTTCCCTTGCCTGCTCTGATTATAATTTGAAAAGTAGAGACAGTCAAAGCATTAAAAATCTAATTCAATAAAGAACAATGCTACATGCACAACACATAGGTAACAACCTCTCACGATGGAGATGAAATTCGCGATTAAAATAATAGTGGGTCCCACCTCCCTTGTGAGATGTTGTAACCCAATATTGTTACCAAACATTTTATTCTTCAATAAATTATTTATGACACATTTGGCAGAGTTTCAACTGCCGGTGCAAGCACGAACCAAAGGAAGGTGTCAAGTCAAAGTGTACAAATCTCATGCGTGAGACCTATTTTCTCATTGAATGAAGGGTACGAAATCATTCGAAATGATTTTTTCGATGGACAGTACTACGTTTTGCTTCAAAAATAGCTTATTAATTTGAGGACCATATTTTGACTTTTCAAAATTCTACGAAATCTGGCCTTAACACGTCAGCCATGAATCAATTTTATGGGCCTTCCACGTTGCAAAACTAACCTTGGACGTGCATAGTTGCAAGATTTGGATTTAAGAAGCTGAATTTAATTAATTAATAGTACAAATAAATAAAAATCAAGAAGTGGGGACCGTAATTGACGCTATAAATGGACAAATTTCTCCCATAATTAAACCCATTCCACCCTCTACACTAATTTTTGTCTGTTTTGCTTCTCCACGATGCTAATGGCAACTAGCCAAAAAATTTCTGCTCTGCTGCTGGCCCTGTTCTTTATAGGTAAATTTGATCAATTCTTCAGTTTTTCGGAGAAATTATTTTTTTTATTTTTCTGTTTATGAACATTTGTTTTTAAAAAACAACTGAATTCGATCTCATATTCGCAGGAACCACGATTGTTTCAGCCACAGTTTTTACGCTCCAAAACAGTTGCGGTTACACAATCTGGCCGGGGACACTATCCGGCGATGGCGCCGCCATTCTTGGCGACGGCGGCTTCGCATTAGCCCCCGGAGGAACCATCCAACTCCCCGGCCCGCCGGGTTGGTCAGGCCGTTTTTGGGCACGAACAGGTTGCAACTTCGACGAAGCCGGGAACGGAAAATGCATCACAGGTGATTGTGGCGGTACATTTAAATGCAACGGCGGTGGCGAACCGCCGGTGTCCCTTGTCGAATTCACACTTGCAAATGACAACACGGGGAAAGACTTCTACGACGTCAGCCTCGTCGATGGCTACAATGTGGGCCTCGGTGTCCGTCCCTCCGGCGGCTCCGGCGATTGCCAGTACGCCGGTTGCGTAGCCGACCTCAATGGAAGCTGCCCTAAAGAATTACAAGTGACAGACTCGGTCTCCGGTTCGGTGGTGGCGTGTAGAAGCGCATGTGCCGCCTTTAACACTGCAGAGTTTTGCTGCACCGGCGAACACGCGACGCCGGCAACTTGCTCGCCGACACAGTACTCTCAGATGTTCAAGAATGCTTGCCCGACAGCTTATAGTTATGCGTACGATGATGCTTCAAGTACATGCACATGTTCGGGTTCGGATTATTTGATCACATTTTGTCCCACAATTTCGTGAATTACCATTAATTCATGGTTGATGCTTATTATTAAACATACAATTAATTACATCATAAACTTGATTATGTTGAGTTAATTTTTAATTTTGTACATTTTTATAAATAATTACGTTATAGATCTAAAGAAATCACGTAATTAATTTTAAATTATAATAAATTTGTTTTCTGAAGAGAGGAGACAGGAGTGAGTAGATTATTGAAGTTTAATACCATGGTCGGTGTATAAGATTATTGAATTATTTTAATATAATGAAAAATTAGATGAAAATTATAGAAAAATGTTGGCCAAGTTTTGTACTGGTCTAGAGAGAGTCCAAAGCATGTAAACTTGTACTAGAGGCTTCTTTATGATCATTGTGCCTCAAATTGTATGCGAATGACGATCCTCGCTTAGAATAAAGATTCCAACTTTCTTACATTTATCGACTCAAAACACATTGCAGATTCGCGTCTATGCATTAAAAATTATATTCGTAACACATTCCTTTCCTAAAGAATAATATGATATGCCTCAACAAAGATAATCTCCGTGTGATGTGATATCTGATGTGAGGTGAAATAATAAAACCAAATAAACGAACAGATACAAAATCCGCTTGATTGATCTTATTATTTGATATTACATGACATAGAAATGATCAGAGTTGGTACACATAATATTACTCTATTCTTAAACTTGTTGCTAAAAGAAAACTAAAATAGTTTTTTTTTTTTTTCAGTCAATCAATATTACATTGTTGAATTAATATGACAAGAAACAGAGAGAGAACAAAATGCTTCATTCTTTTAAGGCCTTGGGCCTAAATACATTTGACTCAACAACACATCCTTTTTTCCCTTTTGTTTTTTCCATTACATCGTTAATGTAAGTCTACATCTGGACTTTCATCTTTGAAAGCCAAATCCCAATGATCACTCCCACCCAACTTTCTTCAAATGATATTGGGATGGGAAAATGAAAATTCTACACTAGCTTTCCCTACAATTTTTGAAAGATACACTATAACAATTACAAACCATAAAAGCAAAAACACTACAAGCTTTCTACAATTTACATAACCCCTTGGGGGATTGTTGCTCCAACTCCCTGCATCTCTAAACGTTGTTACAACCAGGACTCTAATTCGCCCCAGCCTGTGCAAAGTCCAGCACCGTCACTTTCATTGCTAAACAGGGTTTGGTCCAAGCAATCAAGCGATGCTCCACAGGCCAGGTTATATGATTGGCATGCAGAGAGGCATACCCGCAGTCTGTTGTCACCATCCTTGTCACACTTTTGTATAGATATCTGGTTCAGGCATCGGGCAAATAAGAGAGTTTAACGAATTCCTCAAGCCACAATATGATATGCAACTGATGTAAAATGCACACGGTAATCAAAACTACAGTTTACTGCTACGTCAAAAATATTCTATGAAACATAAACCAACAAGTCACGTGCCTATAGTTGCAATTTTCAAGGTCATCCATAAGCTCAAATGATTTTGCAATTTGCCCTATAGTGAACTTCATTTATAAATTATAATGAAGTACCAGAGTTCTACTCCAACTCCATTTACAATTTCTCGGATTCATACAAAAGCCAGAACATGCATATGTTTGTTTCTTTGGATATTAATGGAATGTGATAACAACTAAACGAAAGAGCGAGTAGACTCTGTCCACTCTTAAAGAGTATAAAGATAAATAAACTTACCCAACAGGCTAATCGCTTGGCAGCTCCATCACAGTCTCTACCTCTAATATAGTTTAGAAACTTCCTAGGACCTCCTGGAAATAACCTGTGGTAGTTGGGCATGACAACAACTTCTTCAAGCTGCTGCAATATACTCAATTCACTAGGTGCACAATGTTGCCCCAACACATCTTTCTCTAGGACATCTTTGCAGACCGAGAGATTGGGGAGAAGTGACGAGCTGTTTTGACATGTGTAGCCAGCATAATCAGAGCAACGGAACTCACATTCACCATTATCACAGACCCCACCGTGAAGACTGCATTGTTCATCGCAAACAGCTGTATATTGCGATAGGGATGTTATACGGAGAAAGCAAAGCTCAAATTCTATCCAAGTGCCTCTATTTTAAAGTAATGGTGGACAGAGTTTAAAAGATCTCTGTCTTGTGTTATTAGATTAGTGAGAACAAAGGAGCAGGTCAACAACACTCCCTGAAGGGAGGCATGGACACTTACTGATGATTTAAAATAGTCAACCTATTCTACACGATTTTTCACATGTACTAAAATGTCGCTCATTAACTTCCTAGCGACTTGAATGATTTGCTATGGAGTGAGTGATTCTCTTGATACATGTGTACGAGAAATGACACTTGCTGGCCTCCCCATACTTTAAATAGAATTAAGGTAAGCTTTGTTTTTAAACATTAAATCATTTCATCCAGGTCTTAGTATTCCTTTTCCTGGGTAAGAATATAATTCAAAGGGCGCCAAGAAAGTGCCACTCATGTAAAAGGGAAATTAAATTGTGCTCTGAAAAGAAAAACGTTGGAACATTAGAGTGCTTAAAATTTTCATTTTGATAATAACTGCGGCACGTTCAATTTTGACATTGCTGTCAAGCGTTTATAGAAACTTTCATCTCCTACCCAAAACGTTTCATCTAGACTTTTAACTTGGTCTAACAAAAGTTTCGACACTGCTTTAAGTACATTTTAGCTCCCCCCATAAATTCTGAAAACCATTATACTTGGATAGGGGGAAACATTCTGTAGACATATTATTTGTGTACATGTTTTAATCCATATGCTTCATAGATAAAAGGAAGTTACTTTTCTACAAAGTAAAAATCATGCAATATTCTACTAGCCCGGAATGAGGAAGCTATCAACAATTGAGTTCATTTTTGGAACTTTCACCAAATCAGGGGCCATTAAGAACGAGAAATCTTAATGAACGTCTTACCTGTTGAACAATCAATGCCAGTGTAACCATTTTCACATTCACAAACACCATCTGCAAGGCACTCACCATGCCCACCACAATTGTTAGGACAGGAACCTGAAAATTAAGCTCCATCAATGATATCAAGAAGTGTCCACTGAATGAATTAGGAATGCAAGTTATTCCAGAAAAAGGATAAAGGTTAAGGAACTTACGTTGATTACAATCATAACCCTCAAACCCTAAAAAGCAGTTACATTTTCCGTCAATACAATCACCATTAAAATAACATGAATTGGGACATTGACCAGATACAGGGACTGTATCCACATGGCAGAGTTCATGGTAAGCTGGGCAGGTCAGTTCACCTACAGTTTGGTAGAAACTTTTAATGAGATGAGGAAATAAATGAGCTGAAAAGAATTTTGAGGCAGAGTAACCTATAGATATATATATGTGATCACCATCATAATAAAACCAATTACCGTTAAACCCGGGATATTGAACAGATCCACCAGATTCAGGGCATGCTTTCCAGATGCCATCCACAGCAACCTACAAAATCCAATGCGAATATTCTCTAGTCTATATTCCATAAGGAGAATACAAAGACGAGACTGGAGCATAAACCTACTGGAGAAATATACAGTTTCTGCTCAATAATATCAGGAAATTATGATTATCTAGTTTTCTGTTCCTTTCCTCCATCATTCATTTGGTAGGAAAAATCCTTCAAGAGAAATGAAAATACTATGGCAGTCTGAAAGTTCTTGAAGTTCACAGTTTCCCTTGTCAATATAATTAAATATCTAGCTCACCGTCGCAAAGTGGGTGTCATGGTTCTCTCACTAGTTATTTATACAAATATGTTTTCGTAAGTAAAATTTCATTAATCACAAACTTTTAAGCAAGAAGTATACTAGGTAACATCACATTATCTATTGTGTGTAGTTTTCGGCAAGTCCATTAAAAAATCTGTAGAAGTAGAGGATGGATTTCCTTCACCCAAATAATATTTTTTACAGCAAGACAACTATAATCTTAAAAGATTCTAAATAGAATTCACACGTGCAATTCCCTCTTGCAAGATAAAGATGATTAGTTCACAATCAAAGTGTGGGGAGAGAGAGCACAGAGTACTAGAAACCAGATTTTCTTTCTTCCACACCCTAGTTTATCCCAAATGAGCTCCCATATGCACATTTATCTTCACACAAGGCTATAAGCCCACAAGCATTAGAAACTAATGACAAACGTTAGAGAAGCATGATAATTATATTCCAAATCATACCTCCAGCGTGTTGTTCACACACCTATGCTGATAACAACCATTTCCTTGGGTTGTAGTGCCCCTTACAAACCCACTACGCACCAATGATGAGGCCATACACCTATATGTAATGATGTGAGAAGAATCATCAACATCAATTCTCAACTTAATAGTTCTGAGAAAGGTTTGAGAGAAATTCTCACCTTGAACTACTTCCTCGCATTTCACCCAACATCCTGTCAGGTGACCTAGCACTGTTAGCGTCAGTACAAGATCCATCAGAGTAGGCAACAAAATATGTGCAATAATCAGCCAATGACGACTGACCGCCTGCAACAAGAAAAATAAAAAAAAGTATTCACAGATACGACAATAGTAGATTGAAATATTCAAGCAAGCAAAACAAGAACATACCTGTGTTAGCCTGTGGAAAATAGCGTGCCCATTGTGGAAGCTCCCCACTATAATTCACAATAGGACAGTAACCTTCTGCCTCCCTGTTATATGTACATCCTGAAAACTGTGTTGTGTTGCAATGATACGGCCCCTTCCATTGATTGCAAGGGGAGGTGACAAACTCAGATCCTTGGTTCCGACCCCAGTCAAGACGATCTGACATACTGTAATTAGCACGGTACCATCCACTGTCCTCAAGTAAAGCAAGCGTCATTTTCGAAACTACTGATCTTGTATCCACCGAGCCCGTCATAATCTCATTCATTAAAAGCCTTTTCTCCCAGTGGGATCCTGTGGCACGTCATTAATTACATATTGATTAGAGATAATCAGCTGACATTAATGCTTAAATTTACGCTTTAAAAACACTAT